GAAAATTACTACTTATTCTTTAAAATCCTTAGCGCACCTCACATCTCCTGGGCGGTCTCCTTCGATCCTACTATCCATGCCCCATGCTCTGCCCTTCTTTTGGTTTAGAACCCTGCATGCTTATCTGTCTGTTGCATGACCTTCATTAGGTTTTGATTGCTAATACATCTTTTTCCCTCATAGGTGGCCAGGGACAGTGTTCTAATCCATCACTCCATGTCTACCCCTCAGTCTTATGCATGGCGCATGATAGATGGTTGATAAATATTTATCATGTAGACTTCAGGGAGCTAATAGTTAAAATTGTGAAACACAGTAAAATCTCTAAGAAAAAGAAAAAGTAATTCATCGTGACTTCCATTGTTATTGAAGATGCCACATTAAATTCGCTAGAACAAGTCTAAAAAGTCAATTGTTTTTTTGTCTTCTTTCTCTGCAAATATAGTAATTATGAGTATAATCCATTTTCCTTGTCCATTCATCCTTTTCATTTGTAAGGAACAGGTCTTCACCAAAAGTGTTGTGTTTGTTGGCTCATCTTGTTTATATTCATGTAAGTAACTACTGTCTTGAGCCATTACTGTTTTGTGGGTCAAAAATTGTAAAGCACTGGCAATTTATAGGATGCAACCTGAATAAAAAGGATGAAGAGCCAAGTATTTCTCGCATATCCTCACAATAGATTTTTTGGTTGAGTAACTTTTATAGCTGGTAATGCAGCCGTACACATTTTATTAAATTCAGGTCATCTGAGAACAGGACGCTTCCTCCAGAGGTCACGAGATCCCAGCCCAGGGTGCTGTCTAGGCAAAGGTTGAAAAGACAGCTATCAGCTGTTGGAAGAGCCTGAGACAGAGCTTTTGCAATCTGTAGAAAAGTAACCTCTATCACAAAATCTGTGTTCACTCCTCTATTTTCCAACTGCATGACAACTTAAAGAGTTAAAAATAATGAAACATCATTAAAATGTTTGTTGGTACTGTTGGCCTATCCCACAGTTGAACTTCCAAGTGGTTGATTGTGTTTCCTTCTTGGGGTATAGAAAGCCATTCATCTCACATTATCTGATTGATCGAACACATGTTTGAGCCCTTACAACTTTTCCACACAGCACAAATGAGTAAGACAATGTTTGATGGCAGTGAGCATCCGCTGCTTGAGGGCCCAGGACAGCCGGGCCATGGGGAACCAGGGTCAGGACTCGGGAGCCTTGGATCTCTGTGCCTGGATTCCTCTACTTGGAGCAACTTGGATCTGATTAGAAGAGTTTTACCTGCGGCTAAGATCAGTTTGGGGATTAGTAGGCATCTCAATGTTCCTATTTTTTTTAATTGCCATTTGCTTATTTCCCTGTAACTTTTCAACTTAAAAGATTCCTTCAAACTAAATGTGCTGAGAATATCTTTTAAAAATAAAAACACACATTTAGATTCTGGTGCACAACAAATTCCCTGTGAAGAAAAGTTCCAAATTTGTGACTATTTGCATTTCCATAAACAGAGAGAATCTTTGTCTGTGCTTATTATGTGACAAGTAGCAGTGTTAGAAATAGGATGGGTGTTTTAGGACCCTGGCTGTGCACATGCTCCCATTCTTGTTGGTATGTTCACAGTCCAAGGCACTGTACAACTTGTAATGTGTGTTCAAGAGCTTCCCCCACCCCAAAGCTGATGTCTTACTGATTTTTAACTAACATTGACCTCATTACAGTAATTAAAATATTTTTAAAATGAGAAAGGTGCTAACATGCCTCAGCACACTGGGAGGCTGATGGTGAGACAGAGATGAACATGCAGACATTGTTACTGGCACCCAGGGACTAGCATGTGGGAAGCAGGAAAGCCACCAAGGATGGCAGAAAGGAGTTGAGTGGCAGTGCAGGGCCCACAAAGCCCTGAGCTGGCTGCTGGGAGTGCTGTGACTGGCCTGGGAGTCAGAGCCCTCCAAATCCGGGCGAAGGTAGCATTCCTTAGAGCCCTTGTTGGTCAGGGAGGCTGGTTGCTGGCTCCTGGGTTCTCACAGTCTCATGCATGGTCCATGTCTTTGGGATGTCAACAAAAGAGCGGAGAGTTCCAAGATGGCAGGACCAGTTGTCCAGGGCTAAGACAGGAAATACAGGCAGGTCATGGCTAAGGCAGGCTGGGAGAGTAGGTGTGACCTGTCGTCATCAGGTGCATGCTATTTTGTCTCTTCATGATAGCCCACCCTATGCAGTAGGGTGAAATTTTTCCCATTTTTTTTTAACTTGGCTTCAATTCACTTTGCAGAACATAGTTTTTCCTTCCTTTAACAAATATGAAATTTGCCACCATTTTTCAAACCAATCTGTTGTTCAGGACAAAGAAAACTAGGAATCAGCAGAACCAGGAGAATCCAGCAACCAAACCCTGGTAACTGGACCATGGAAAATTTAGAGGTATCTGATGTTCTTTGGGCCTAAAGAAGAATTCAGACACCACCATTTTACATAGGATTGCAGCTAACTCTGCTCATGTTTCTATCTAGGTAGATATATGGCAATTTATTCAAATTCAGTAAGATTACTACATCAGTTTCTCAGTTGCACTAACCATATTCCAAATGCTCAGCAGCCACGTGCGTCTGTTGGGTCGATGGCACAGAATGTTTCAGTAAGAAGTACTGGGATATATGGACAGACTGTAATAAGATAGAACTGCAGCCGAGATGGCTGGAGTGCAGTGCTGATGTCCACAGGGCACCCGGCCTCATCCCTCTGAGGTTTGCTGCCTGCCTGCCCCCTGCCCCCTGCCACCTGCCAGGAGGAGGCACCTAGGCCCATAACTCAAACCCGCTACACCCTCTCCTCTTCCCCTAAACTGTGTGAATTCTCATTTTAGTTTTCTTCCTTAATTCTATTTCTGTTTTCACTTACCAATCATAATAACATGGTTTAGTAAACCATAAATGGAATCAGTAGTAACCAATTTTTTTAATATACATCAAGCTATGAGGAAAGATTTGTATTCATCACACTGGCTTAGTTATAGAAATAGAAGAAAACTAGTTATTTTCAAATTAAAATATTTGTAAACATTCATGTCCTGCCACATTTGGCCACAAAAAGTTACTGGCAAACGATAAAATTATATTAACTGTTATTTTAAACGTAACAAATGAAACATTCTAGAGTTAGCCTACTCCAAACCCCAGGCATGCCTGATACTAAAATCTTCTGTGCTGTGTGAGTCGCTTGCTTTAATTACTCAGTGAATGCTGCTCTGGTGGCTTGAGCCATTCCATCTCCTCTGAGTTGTTGTAATACAGACTGTACCTCTTATAAAACATTTCCAAACAAGCTCTTCCAGCCTGGAAATGTAATTTCTTCAACAGTATAGCATTCATTGTTCTTTTCCTTTGAAACCCCAGCCAAAATCTAGCCTCGTAAAAACAATCTGTGAAGCTTCTGGGTATTACTGGTCCTCAATTTGGTGCTCAAGCTACATCCAAAGCAGGCACCTAGGCAGACCTTCCTTTGCTCACCACACTCAGCACGCTCCCCTCCAAAGCCACTGCGGAGAGAAAGACACCTATTTGATGGTCTTCTGCATGCAGGAGCCGAGCTGAATAACATGTATGTGCACACGTCGCATTTTTATAAACATGACATAAGTGACACAGCTGCGGGCTGGCCAGATAGCTCAGCAGACCAAAGCATCTGCTTAGACAGGCACAGGAACTGGGGTTCAATCCCTGATGTGCCATGCTGGCCCTGCCCCCAGGGGAACACTGAGCCAGCAACTGAGACTGGGCATGGTGGCGTGCACCTGTAATCCCAGCCCTTGGGAGGCTGAAACAGGAGGATCACTATGAGTCTGATCTGAGTAGTGACACCCTATAGACCCTGTACTAAATACATTTTTAAAAGATAAATGAAATGACACTGCTGTATTCTGTAAAAATTGTGCACTTTTTTTTTTAATCTATTTTTTTGGGAGGGGGCAGAACCGGTGCTTGAACTCAGGACCTTGCGCTTGCCAGGAAAGCACTTATTCTACTGAGCCATCTCCCTGGCCCCAAAAATTGTGCTCTTGAAGTGCCACATGACACTGAAGAAAGGGTGACACTGAAGAAAGATTGTCATCGAGGGGTGGTAACCCATCAGAGCACTCACCTACCTGGTGTGGCGCTGTGATCTTGTAGGCCAGGACTCCTTCCTTCATCCACTCCCTCATCATCTGCTCACTCATACATCTCTTTCCGAGGTTCTGGCTATACAGTATTCCATGAACATGGTCAGATGGGAAGCAGACTGTGCTGTGTACCAGCGCTGATCCAAATATACCATGAAGGCCTCAATTAAATGTACTGCAGTAGAGGACACTTCTCATCCCATTTGTGATACTCCTCCTTGCTTTGAGCGTGCCTATCACTCTTGCCACTTGCTGAAAAAGCTATGGAATTCCTGTTTCACAGGTATCTTCCAAGCTATTCAAAAATACAGTGTGTGTGCCTGCCAAATAGCACCCCAAAGAAAGGCAGGCATGTAAAGGAATTCCACTACGCCCTCATCCACCTTCTTCTTCATGTCTGCCACTGTAGGACAGCTGGCTCTTCCCCAGAGTCAGAATGACCATAAAAAAATAAACATTTTGAATCCATCCAGGACATCGAGGCAGCCACAACCTTGTCGCTAAAGACACGCACCAAAGAGAACTTCCAGAACTGCTTCAAAAACTGGCAAGAACTGTAGGTGTGCTCAAAGCTAAGGAGGGCATTTTTGAGGAGCATTGAAGGTAAGGCCCTTGAATAGAATCAGATTTTAAAAATGAAACATTTTCTACTCATACCTCATATTAATTTAATCACCTCTATACCATGTAGGGGCCTTAAATTTGACTCTTTTGTGGGAAATGTGGACCACCAATTTTAAAATAAGTAAGATAGTTTAATGTCTTTTAAAATTACATACATGCATATAATTTATGTTTTGGAACATATGTCGGGGAGTAACATACCCCTGTGTTGTATTTTTATTTCAGGTTGAAGAAGTAATCACAGGTAGCCAACAACCAACCAAGTTTGTGAAGACCACTGTGGACCGCAGCAGAGGACAGGAAGAGCAGACCCACACCAGGTACCACCTCTCAGGCCGCTCTCTGCATTGTCCCTTGCCGGTCAGAGTATAGCTCCAGATAGGACAAAATAGTTTAAAGCTTATAAAAAGGGGGGCTAGGGAGATGGCTCAGTAGAATAAGTGCTTCCCAGGCAAGTGCAAGGGCCTGAGTTCAATCCCCAGTTCCACCAAAAAACAAACAAAAAAAAAATTGATTCATGCCATGAAATCCTTAGATTCTGGATTTGTAAGGTTCTTCCTCTCTAAAACACCAATCTGTGCCCATACAGGTCCTGTTGTGTATGAAGATAGTAATAAGGGCAATGACATCGACACCAACGACTTCTGGCATCTGCTGGACACTTGCTTTGTGCCAGGCATTCTGCATGCTTTCTCCACATTCCCACCCCACATCCTCACAGCTTTGTCCTCTGTACAGAACTGGAGGAGAGACTTTTGGGATGTCCTGGGGGTCACGTGGCAGGGAAATGCTGAGCGAGTTCCAGTGAGTGCTATTCCTACCTCTGCTCTCCTGCACTCCCTTTCATGATCCATGAATCACTTCAGATTCCTCAAAGCATAGGCCAGGCCATGGTGTTGGAGTTCCCTCACAGTTCTCCAGACCAAAGATCACCTTTGACCTGTGTTTAAATTCCTTTCCCAACATGGAACCCTATCGGGTACATGGGTACATGCTCTGTACTTTACCTTGATTCCCTCTGATAATTTATATTTGCAGAATTTCTTGTTAACATGGAATGGCCAAATAGCTCAGCGGATTAAAGTGCCTGCAAGCAGGTGCAGGGGCTGGGGGTTCAATCCCCAAGGGCATGCTGACACGGCAATTGAGAGTGAGTGTGGTGGTGTGCACCTGGAATCCCAGCACTTGGAAGGCTGTAAACAGGAGAATCACTACGAGTCCGATCTAGTCATGAGACCCTGAACACCCTGTAGACCCTGCCCTAAAATGCGAGAAAAAAAATTCTTGTTAACATACAAGTCTGTATGGCATGATAACTGCCTAAAGGGAAGATAAGATTTCTTTATAATTTTAACTGATGCTGTGATATGTTAGGCACTAAAGCAGAGCCAGCAGTGCTGTTTCTAGTTTCACCTTGGTTTTTTCTAACAGGCTGAGATGCTCGTGGTGTGGCATAACTTACGGTTAACTCTGTAAGGTCTAAAGTGTTGAGTTATGAAGCCAGATTCCTTAGGAGATCAAATCTTTCATCTCTGAAATGTTGTGATATATCAGTGTTGTAAAAAATATTTGTTAAAATAGCTTGAGACTTCATCCTATAGGATCCACTTTTTAAAAACTTTTCCCTGCAGTTTCAGCTTGATAGCAGAAACTCCACAGGGCGTGTTTTCCAAAGAAAAGCATTGTTTAGAGGGATCAAATAAGTTTCCTAGGTATACTGCAGTGCTGTTTGAAAAATAATTTGGAACAAGGCCTGTGAATGGAAATTGAGTGCCCAGGTCGCATTCTGTTTTAAGACATAGCATACAGATAAATTACCAAAAAGAAGACCTTTCTTTTAAAAGAATATTCACCCATTCTTAGTCTCCCCCAACATTAGATGTCTTCCCTCCCTCTCTCCAGTTCCTAAATAAGTTTCCTGGCTATACTACCTAGAGAACTGCAGGCCAAGCCAGCCTCCCCTAACACTCCTGAGGAGTGTTTTCCAGGGAGCACCCCTATTTCTCAATTCTCCTATAGAATGAGATCTCAGTCCTTTCAGATACCCTGCTATTTCCCAGGCTTTTACCAAGCAGATGGTAAAATCTATTTTGAATTGAGGCAAACTATCTTTGCGATACAAATGTATATGCTAGAATTATCATCACAAAAATACCTGAACATCAGCTATACTTACTTCTTGCATAATAAAGCAGTCAGGCTCTGGTCTATTCAAAGACAACTGTTGAAGTTTTATAGAGATTTTTAAGTGTGGGATTTGTTTGAACAATAGGTATGGAATTGAATTCCTTCTGAGAAGTAGGTTACTGTTTTTAATCTTGGAAATCCACTCCTATTTCTGTACTTAGTGATTTCCATTGCAGATACAAGATTCTAGGGTATCATGACTGTTATGAATATTCACAGTCATAATTAACCCCCAGCACTCTTGGTGCATGGAAAGACAGAATCTAATTTGTGAGGAATCGCAGAGAGGGGAAGCCAAATCATTGCAAACAGTTTGGAGCTGGTTTTCAGGCCGTAGGAAAACGATCATTATTGTGATTACCCTTGAGGCATCTTAGCACAGTTCTTCACAGTATTTTTGCAGAGCCTTTCTTTCCATCTTTGTTTCTGAGAAATGTTCACATAACCACAGAGAATATGTCTAAGTGAAGGTTGTTTACAGTGCTCCTTAGTTGTTAAGCTTCACTGTACACACGGCCTCAGGCTGGGCACCCTCCTTGTCCAAACAGTGGCCTCTCTGGCCACACAGGTGCACTGTGGTTGGCCAGGGTGGAGGGCCTGCGCAGTGGCACTCTGGGTGTAGGCTGGGTGGCTTCGTCCCTCTCCTGTCCAGATTGTTGTGTGCAGACAGAATACATGAGGGAGCAGAACAGCAGGGCAGGGTTCTCTTCATCCGGACAGAAGGTGACAGCAGTGACTCCCAATTGTGGTCTCATGATGCTGATGTACGGGGGAGTCACAGCTTCTGCAAAAGTACAGATATTCGCAGAGTGCTGATTCTGCACTGAATGATTTCACACATCCTTTTTAACTTTCAAAACTACAGTAAAAGATCAGTACTGCTGTTTGTACTGTACTGCAATTCTGAAAGGTTGAATTCTCCTATGGTCATGGAGTTGATGTATGGTGGATCCTGGACTGTGATGTGTGGGGCTCGCCTTTTTACTCTTATTGTGGTGTCTTTTAGTGAATAGTTCTTAATTCAAATTAATGAAAAATTAAGGACTTTATGGTTAATCCTTTCTTTGCTTTATTCTAAAAATTCTGACTTACTCTGAAGTAATCGAGGTAGGGCAGCCTTTACCTTTGTCTTTTATGTTTAGGTGTAATCCACCAGGAATTGATTTCTGTTTCAGGTATGGCAAGTTGATTTTATTCAGTGTGAATACCTTCCTGTCTTGGTGTTTCTTATTTAAAATTTTGTCCTTTCTGCACTGGTCATCAAGACTGCTTGTGTTGTAGATTAGGCATGGACATCAGCGTAGGTCTGGGTTCTGTTTCTGGACTCTGTTGTTCCACTTCCTTAATTTCTGTAGCTTTAGAAATTAAGTGTTTAAACTGGTAGAAAAGTCTTCTCTCCTGTTCTTAAAGAGAGAGTTGGGTGTTCTTGGGCCTCTGCTCTTCCGTATGAATTTTAGAATCAACTTGTCAAATTTCACGCCCAAATGATATTAGTCCATTTTGCATTACTAGAAAGAAAAAGTAGGAGGAGGTTAGTTTACGAAGCAAAGGACTTTGTTTATCTCACAGTTTGAGAGGTGAGCTCATGGTACTGGCATCTGCTCAGCTCTGGTGTGGCCATTGCAGTGGTTATGTCCTAGTGGAAGTGCGAGTGTGAGGAAGTGGGCCTCTCTCTAACCAGGAAGCAGAGAGAATCAGAGGTCCCTCCAGAAAAGCAGGGTGCCCCAGGCGGGCAACCTTCCCAGAAGCCTAAGGACCCCCTCCAGGTTCTGCCCATGAAGGGTTCCATCAAATCTCACACACCCCACTGGAACCAAGCTCCCAACCAACATAGAACTTGGGGGGGGGGGGGGCAACACATGTCTTGGTTGCTTTTTCTCATTGCTGGGATAAAATACCAGATACCCAAAGGAAAGGTTTATTTAGCTCAATTTGTAGAGGGTTCAGTAATATGCAGGCAACAAGAGCAAAAGCGGGAAAGATCAAGTGTCTTTTGCTCCCTTATGTTGTAGGCAGGCTGCCTGTACTGGGGTGGGTGTAGCAGTCCCACTGCCTGTCTCCTTGCCTTCTTATTGCACAGACTCAGAATGCTTACAAAGGGAGGACCTTGGCCTCCTGTGCAGTCACTTAGTCTAACTTTAAAACTTGTCAAGTTGACACAATGAACAACACCCTAGAGCAGTAAGGGGCGTCCTCCACACCCAAGGATGCAGAACTGCTAAGTTGCTTAGTTAAGCTTCGAGACTCCTCAAAGTGACACAAGGTGTCAACCATTACAAACCACATCTCAATCATAGCACATACACGTCTACACATAGACACATGCACACACAGATGCATATTAGGATTTGATTTGGAAGTAGACATGTAGATCAATTCAGAGAGGATATCTTTTCCATGTGTGTATATCAGTTTTAATAATTTTCAGTTGTATGATATATTTGCTACTATAAACATATTTTATATTACTTACTCTATTGCTAGTATTTAGACTATAATTTTCTTTTTTGTGATAAAATATACAAATATCAAACTGACCATTTCAATCATTGGAAAGTATTCAATGTAGTGGCATCTATATGGAAGGCCATGTCCTATAGCTGTCACTGTTGTGTAATTCACTTTCATGCTAAAGTTTATTCCCAGTAGCTTGACTTTTCTTCTACTAACTTATCTATGGATTCCTTCAGATTTTCTCTAAATCTGCAAAGAATGACCACTTTCTTCCTAATTCTTACTTCCTTAATTTCTTTTCATGCCTGAATGAGAATTTGATGACATAAGTAAAAGTGTTAGCACAAGGTTTAGCAGAGGCCAATGCGTCTGGAGTCCCAGGATGGTCCCACAGTCAGTGATTTATTAAAAGGACTCAGGAGATTCAGCACATAGTCGTACTCATGGCAAATATTACAGCAAAGGAATGCTACATCAATAAAAAACAAAGTCCAAATAAACCTGGAATCCTTCTAAGAGACCTCTCCCGCGGAGTCACGAGGGCCCTGCTTTGTTCCCTTAGCAGCAAGTTTCATTTACACGAGAGTTGCTCCTTGGACACTCAGTGCTGAGGTCTTCCTCGGAGGATGTTAGGCACCTTCTGCCTCACACGTATCGGAAGTTCTGCACTTGCAGAGGAACAGTGCCTGAACACTTTGCCAGCCACAGCCGCCCACGCTTATGGGATAAAGAAGGTTTCCTGTGAGCAGAGGGGACTGTCGATCAGTCTCAGCCTCTTTGGAGGCCTTCGTAAAGATGGTCCTTTCAGGGCCCGAAGTGTACTCTTTTCTGCACAGTGGTTTGCAGTGCATTCATGCTAAGTGGTGTCAGAGCTGAAGCCATATACTTTGTTACATTTAAAGGCAGAGAAGTCTGCATAACACTGCTCAGAGGTGTCTGCGAAGAAGGCTGGTTCTGGATCTGTTTGGGAAGCAGTTGTTTATCTTGAGCATTGGATTGCCCTTTCTGCTGCTCTTCTTTCTTGACCTTCCTCCAGTGCATCTCCGCTTCAGCCTGTTTTCACCTGTGCGTGGGGTACACAGCCCATGCGGGTGTCTTCTGTAGCATCACGGTGTTGAGACCAGAAAAAAGACAGATGGTGGAGAGTTAGGGCAGGATCCTGAGTAAGCAGAAGTTAGCCCTGGGAAAATTGGAACACAAGGGACAGGGGCTCACTGAAAGAGGCAAGGGAGATCTATTCTCCTAAAGTCCTTTAAAAACTGGTTTCAAAGGACAAGTTCCTGGGTCAACTGAGATAAACCTTGGGAAATTCAGGTGGAAGAGAAGCCTGCTAGTCCTGACCTCAGAAGCTCAGCTAAAAGTGGCAACCATATTGTTTCAATGTCTCATTTTTACGTGCCCACCATTGGAGCCCAACAAGCACATATAAACCCCTGACCTTGGGTGTCTACCCAGCATCCTCCTTTGCAGCCACTCTTGGCCAGCCAGAGCTTTTCTTTTTTCTCTAATGAACTAGGTTCATTTCTTACCACTGTGTCTGTGGACTTCACACTTCATCACTTTTGGGACAAGACCAAAGCAGGGAGAGGATGGGCCACAGTGCATAGGTGCAATCAGGGTCTTTGCGAATACGTTATTTTATGTTCTTTGTATTCGGCAGTACCTCGGTTCGTGAAGCTAACTCTTTTCGTGATTCTGAAGAGGATGGCATGTTCATGTTCATGCAGGAAAGATGGCCACAGTCCTGTTTGTCACTAGAGGCAGAGTTGGCATGCAAAGGCAAAATGTTGCCAAATGCAAAATGTGAACCAAATTGTTCACAAGCAGAAGTGTTTTTGAGCAGAGGTACCACTCTACAGTACTTTGTAGTTTTCTTTAGCAAAGAAATTAAAACCTCAAATGCCCACAAGAACTGAGCAGGGTAAAAGAATGAGGGCGAAACTTTTCAAGAACAATGGAGAATTTACACTCTCCAAAGACAATTGAGCTTTCTTCTTCCCAACAAAAGGTGAAATCCAGGTGGACTTTTGTCTAAGGATATCAGTTGGAGTTCCAAATTAGACCAATTGTGATTTGTTTTACCTCAGAGGTAATTGCTAATATAATCTCATAGTTCCTCCAATAGAACAATAAGATTTTTTCATTTATTCAACAAATATTTATTCAGTGCAGCTGAATGCCAAGAATACACCATGCAAAAGACAAACCCTTGGTCTCCCAGGTGTCAGATTTACAGGAAAGCTGGCTAATCATGAGGCAGTCACATAATGCAGTGATAGATGTTCTGTCAGTGTCTGGTGGTCCACTCAGAAGTTACCGGGAACCTCGTCTCTTCCACTGACTATTCTGTCTCTGTTGCCTGTCACAGCCCTTGGCATATAATGGCAATGAACATATACCTGCCAAGGAAATAAATGAATAATGTTAGACTGATTCTGAAATAATTTGACTGCATATCACTCTCAGCAGCTTCAGTCCTGTGGAATACCAGTGGCCAAAAACCCAGCCCAGGACATGTGTCATCTATAGAGCTTTCTCTGTCACCTTGGTATTGGGGCTCATTGGCTAATGGGGTTCTGCCTGGTTGTTTTATTCTTACTATTGGCGAGAGGACTGGGTGCAACCAGTAGGAGCAGGTTCTACTGGGAGGTGCAGTTGGGGGACTCAGCTTTGCCATACACCTGAATTTATAGTCTAAATGCCCGGCCACACCATGGCAGACCAGACTGTGTGAAGCCCCAGGGTCCAGAGGCCTGGTGAGCCACATTAAGAGTCAGGCCTGCTTAGAGTGAGTCTCATTGACCCTGCCTGTGTGGCCTTGCCTGCTGTGTCACTTCAACTGTCAAAAGGATGTCTTAGGTAAGCAGAGGCTCTCAGGTGACTGCTCCAACCACCTGTGCACCAGCAGACCTCGTAGTACTTCTTAACACTTTATTATCCATGGGTCCAAATCATGCTTCTATTGGATTCTAATCAAAGCCAGGGGCAGTCTCTTATTTTTGTCTCTGTAATATGTAGATATTACCTGCTAACATGTGTGGAATAAATGAGCAAGTGAGTTGAATTTCTTTGGAACTGATTATTTTTCTTTTAGTGTCCTGACCTTTTCCATTTATTTATTTTTTAAGACAATAAAAAATAGTAAAAAAAAAATAGTGTTAGAAATGATACAGAATTTCACTAAACAAAATGATAGGAATTTAGCAATGATTGTTACATTGGATATTGTTGACTTCAACTTAGTTGTTCAGATTACCAGATAGAAGCATGCACAATTGGTCAAAAATTTTTTTAAAAAGCATTAACTGTTCCTTTCAATAGACCTTTCAATAGTAGAAATCAGCAGTACAGTTGTCCAGGCTATCCTGTGTGTCTACATATGTATTTTTCCCTTTCCTTCTTTCTTTCCTTTCCTCTTTCCCTCGTCCCAGTTGGCCATTCCCTTTGGACAGTTTCTTTCCCTTTCGCAGTATCTATTGTACCTTTTGGACTTTACCTGCTCTTCCAGGTTCTTACGCTAGGGAGACCAAGGTAAATGGATGCAACTAGAGACCATACTCATGAGTGAAATGAATCAGACCTGCATGTGGAGCTTAATTTTAAATGATGTGATATTCATTTCTCTTTATCTGTTTTGTTGCAGAAGAAAGCAGGTTGAGAAACTAGAAGTGGATCCTAACAAGTATTCGTTCCCCGATGTGACTTCCATAGTTCAAGAGAAGAAGCATCCATCCAGAAGATCGGGACCCGAGCCCCAAACTGCCCCAAATGAGGAAGATCCACGCTTCGAAGATAACCCTGAGGTTCCTCCACTGATTTGAAACATGAGGCTGCAGTTCTGTTGCCTGTGACCTGCTACTCAATGCAGAGAAGAGGTGCACGACATTCATAGGATAAATTGATTTAGCATTATTACCACGTTGATGCTTTAACTTCTACTTTGTGCAGTCATATTCCAAAGTGAGTTTAGAATTAAAATGCATAACTTCGATGTGCTGCGCAGTTCATCATTTGTCTATAATGAGAGAATGGCTGGTGAAAACATTCAATAAAATGATAGAACTATTACATGTACCTGATTCTAAATCACAGAACTGCCTGTTTATGAATGAAATTAAGGTATAGATAAAAGCATGGTTATTAACTTGGTACTTGAACAAGTTGGTCAAGTTAGGAGTTAAAACTGTAATTTCAGGCCAATTGGAGCGCCGCGATGTGATTTGAACAGGGCTCCACTTTTTCATCTCGTGGTGCGTCTGCTTTGCCAGGTGCCGTGGTATAACGGCGAGGTAGCATCAGCACCACACACCGCCATGTGGGCCCTCGCTGAGCACTGTGAAGGCCGTGTGCATCGCTTTCCCTGCCCAGGCTTTGTGGCTTCACACTGGGTGGGAGAATCATTTATAAGCTTGTCCCAAGATGTCCTGTGGAAGGCAGGGAGCCCATCACCAGACGGCACTCCGACCCTTCTCCTCCCTCTCCTGTGCTTCTCCTCCCCGTTCCTTCCCCTCATTTATTTTCCACCATCTTCTCATCACTCACCATTTTTGTCCCCAAAATATGCTTCCTCTTCTACTTCCTTCTTTAATTTTCTTCTTAAAAATCTATCTCTTCTTTATTGAAAACACTATGAATTCAATATCCCACTTGCAGCACATTCTCATTCTGGCCACAATACTCCAGATATAAGCATGCACAATTGGTTCTATATGTAAGTCAGGCCTCCTCAGGTATCAGCAAATCCTTGAGTGCTGTGAGTCCCGAGTGCTGCGGCTGCTTATCAGGGTCTGCCATGGCTTGGAGATGCTTTGCTCGTGGTGCCCAGGGTGGGGCTACTGGGAGGTGGTGCAGCCTTTAGAGGCTGCGAGCAGTAGGAAGCTCTGGGCCACTGGGGGTGCTGCCCTAGGGGGAGGCTGCCCTCCTGGAGTTCCCATGAGAGAAGGCTGTTCTAGAAGCCTGGATCTGACTCTCATGTCATCTCTGTGTCTGTTTGGAGATGTGGCCCCTTCTTCCTGATGTGCCCGTGCCATGGCATAATGCCATCTACAGTGGGGGCTCACCAGGGCCCAAACCACTGGGGCTGCCCAGCCGTAGGTTTTGTTGTTCCAAAACTGTGAGCTAAATAAGCCTTTAATATTTTTAAGCAAAGTTAGCCTCCCTCCTGTATTTCTCTGTAGAAACGCAAAACAAATTAATACAAGCTTTTTTTTTGTTTTTTTGTTTTTTTTAAGGTAGGCAAGTACATAGACAATGCTATATCATGCAGGGATGAGAACTTTAAAGTAGAATGAGACAGAGCAAGGAGGTCAAGGGAATGGGGTTGTGGGAGTTGATACATTGTGTTAATTTGATGTGAAAGTGGCAGTTCCCGGACTATGGAGGGCCCGCCCTGGGGTGCAGTTGCACCCACCCTGGGGCATGATTGGTTCCACCCTAGGGCACAACGGGGGCAGCCCCAGAATGATGCAACACAAAAAGTGTATATAAAGGAGTTGAGGGATGCTTCCCTGCTGCCACCCTGCCCCATTTCCTTGGAGACATTCCAGTCTTCAGAGGAACTTGATCTTCACAGTCAGCATAGAAGGAAGAGAGGGGCTTGATGGATGCCGCAGCTGCTGCGCCTCCTCTGCTCTTCCTTGTTTTCTGCCACCATGAACTGCCATCATTTACTTTGGAGTCAGAGGAGTATGAACTAAAACCTCCACAAACTGTGAGATACATAAACCTTTCCTTCCTTCATTTTGGGTATCAGGTATTTTGTTCCAGCAACCAGTAAAAAGTAACTAAGCTGGGATGCTTTGTAGATGGGACCGCTATGTAATAGAAAGTCTTACAAAGAAGGCTCTGCTAGTGTCTCAGCAGAGAACAAGAATGTACCAGTTAGCATTCAGTCAGGAAAACTGAGTCACTGTAAACATGATGAGGATGAGGAGTGGATTATGGAAGTTCGATTTGACGCCTATTTGGGTGGGCCTGGAAGTGAGACAGAGTACTGGGGAAAGAGGCACAGGTGACAAGGGACCTGAGGTGCTAAGCAGGCCAAGGAGCTCATGGGCAAATCTGTGGGAATCGCCCCTCCACTGAGACTGTGGCCTTCCTAGCTGCTGCCCCTTAGGCTCACAGTCCAACCCCACAGAGGTGGGCTTGGAAGCAGTCTAGTTTGTGTTCATTATCACGTGGTTGCAGTTGGTGACTGGTATCTATAACTTCCTTCCACTGCCTGTCGCCTTACCCTTCCCTCAGCAAGCACTTAACCTGCAGTGGACCCTGGCTTGGTGGTGCCCCCCACCTCATTCCTGGACAGACCCTGCCACTGCCAACCGTATTACAGTGGGTTCACTTGTTCTCAGTATTTACTTAGTTACTTTCTAGTCACAGGAGCAAAATATCCAACACCCACAAATTCAAGGAGATGTTTATTTGGGCTTGTTATTTTAGAGATTTCAGTCCATAGTCAAGTGGCTCCAGAACAGAAGCACAGTGGAAATGAGAAGAAAACTGCTGGAGTTATGGCAGCAGAAAAGCAGAAAGAGAAAGCAGGAGGGAGATCACCTGCCTAGATCATGCCTCCAGCTGCCCGTGCATAACCAGACCCCACATCCCATCAGCAGCCCCCAGGGCAATCACTTTCCACAAGCCCCACCTCTGGGTATGTGCGGCACTGTGGGGGGACAGCCCAGATCCGAGTCACAGCAGGACTGCTGGTGAGCTCCAAATGAGGAGGTGCTATGAGGTGCCTGAGACCAGGGACTCCCACCAGTCGAGTGACCTGCCCTATCACAGGGTAAAGCTATGAGAATAGTCTTTTTGGAAAGCCTTTAAGACCAACTTGCCAAAATGAAACCTTCTGACCTCTCAAAGTGAATGGTACAGCATAGTATTTTCAATATTTCACAATATTTTTGAAGGCAATAGCTTAAGCCTATTTCATGAATCTTAAAACTACTCCATTTAAAGAATATAAAAAAGGACCTGTGAGTAGAGGGGGTTTGGTGGGAGGGGACATCTTTAGTGAGAGGATGCTGTGCCTTCACTGTGGTCCTGTTGAGCATGGCTTCCAAGGAACTTTGGGGACCAAGATGAACAAGTGTCTTTGAAGTGAGCTGGTGGCTCTGTGAGCACTGCCTCCATTGGGGTTTGCACTCCAAGCTACATGAGAGTCTCCTCAAAGGGTCCCTGAAGGAGCTCTGAGGAGTATTTCCTGAAGATGGAGACACAGGTAGATATGGAGGGGTCTGACCCTGCCAGGCAAAGTGGTCTAAAAGGCAAGAAGGCTGTCCTGGGGCAGTAGTTCCAAGTATAGAGGTGCCTCTCCTGGGGGGAGGACACCCCAGTTCATCGTGGGTGCTATGGATTGGAGAGGACCTTTTGGGTGCTGTGAGGGAAGAGTGAAGGCAGTGTGACAGGATGGTAGGGGCTGAGGAAGAAGCATCAGGACTGTCCAAGACCAAGGGTGGAGGTGAGCATCTGAGGAAGCTGTTGAAGGGCCATAAGAAAAAGAAGAGTCACCGCATCCCTTCCCTGGGAGACGGAGCAGGAAGTCTGACCATGTTGCCAAGGACCATCTTATCTATGAAATCAAGGTCCTGGAAGTTTCTAGCTTAGACCTAAATAGCTAATATGAGGGAACAGGCCCCAGGCCCCAGAAGCCAGCTCAGGCCTGGAGGCAGTGATGGGACCTGGGACCTTCCTCCAAGGAGGCACCCACCCAGAATGCCCCTCGAGGGCAGCTATGGACAGACACCTTAGCCTCACTCACCTCCTCCTGGTCTCTCCCTAAAACTTCTCACCCATCAAATCCCACCAGAAACCACAGCAAAGGGAGTTGGCCATAGGGCACCTCAAGGTCATGCTCCTGAGCGTACAGCACAGTGAAAAAGGGCAAGGGGCCACCTCACTCTCTCCTTTTTTTCTGTGTCCCTCACCCCTTCAGCCACCTCCCCCAATCCCTCACAGGAAGTAAAAGATGCAGGAGTTGTAGGGTGAGGAGAGGAGGAACACATGGCCCTGTTTATTCTGTTGCAGCCTGAGAAGAGGACAAAGGAGGGAGAAGGATGAGCCAGACTCAGTGACAGGGCTGTGACTCTTGTCAGACAGCCTTATGTTTGGTTGGAGACTGAGACAGTTATCCATGCAGCTGAAGGAGTTGCAAGCTGTGGGAGTGAGAGGAGGGGCTGTAGGATCTGCCTATATCCTCACCAGGGGCTGTGACGACAGGCAAAGGCGTGGCAGGGAACCGAGGATGCTGCAGTTGGATCCCATCAATCTGAAGCTTACTCTGGTAATGACCAGTGACCCCAGAATCAGATTCTCAGACTGCTCTTTCCAAATTCCCCCTCCTAATGGGCTCTTTTCTTAGTCTCTGACTTCCAGAAGGATTTTCCTTCTGCCTCCAGTATTAGCACCAGCAGAGCAGGCAGAAGAACATCTTTCCATGCAAGCACAGGGGCCAAATGCTCTTGGCATTTGCCTACTGCCGGTCATCCCAGGCTCTTCCTGAACTTGCCTTTTTCTGTCCCTACCCGTCACCTCCCAGTGTCCCTAGCACAGCTGTGCATGACTTACCATCCCACTCCCAGCTGCCTTGACAACCTTGGCTGCATGTGTTTGACCTGCAAAGGTCAAAAGGAGGCCACCAGCAGTGACCATTGGGGAGGCATGAGAGGGAAAAGCCCCAGGGCTGAGGGCAGGTACCGTTCCTTGATGCTCAGGGGAAGGCTGCCCTCCACTTGGCAGCTGGGGCTGCCACATGCGGAGTGTGTCTGTCACCATTTGCAGTCTGTCACAGCCTGCTTGACACATTTGGATGGAAATTGCTCCCTGTCTCCAACTGACACATGTCAGGCCAACGTGTCTGCCACTCTGTGGCGGACCTCTGCTAGCATTAGCTGCTTTGATAGCCATCTGCTTTCTAATGGGCTTCCTCCCTGGGCCTGCTACTTTCCCAGTAAGGATGTCTTTGCTTTTTCTTCTT